TAAATTACAGCAGAAAAGAGAAGAAGGAGACGCCGACTGCAGTAGATTGGTAAGCGATTTAATGACACAGGATAAAAAAACACTCACAAGAGTAAATATAAAACATGGCTCATCTGTGAATCCATGGGTCGCTCCATTCCATCCCATAGGAAAAATGCTAGCCATGATCCTAGGGGGTCCTGGAGGTAGAAATGGGCACAGGACTGCTGGCAGGGCACCATTTAACATGGAACACATTGACAGAAGTGATGTCACCGGAAATGTGGGAGGACCGAATCAAAGAGACACACAGGCTACACCCTCAGAGCCTTTACCTCCTTCTACAGGCCTGGGGGTACACTCCTATAGCTGCCATATACTGTAACTAGGAGGCAATGATGGAATACCTTAAAGTGTTACTAAACCCAGGACCCTGCATTCACTATATCTGATCTCCCACAGTACACAGAACATGGAAGTGCAATTATTTTAGTAAATATAAACTGCTAAATACCTTTTCTCATCAGCAGTTAGAGCAGTCTTGTGACTTCTATCAGTGTCCAGCCCACCACTAGCTAAACCTTGTAGGAGGAGTTTTCATTCTTCTCTAGGAGGATAGAAATCCCCTGACCTCTCTCTGGACAGTGCTGCTTGGCCCTGTGCTTATCACATGCACTCTCCCAAGAAAAAAAAAACCCTCTCTAGCAATACACACCAAACTGAGCATGTGCATGCCTACGGTTCAATCTGGAGATAAGAGGTGGTCACTTGAAAAAGGGGAGGAACAGAGAAGAAAGGATCAAACAGCATTTTTACACAATGCAGAGGATTAACCCCTTAGGCTCCACAGTGAGTATAACAAGCATGCTTTACTGCATATACAGACTGATTTTACTGTTGTGGGTTTAGTAACACTTTAAGCAAGGGACAAGTTCCAGCAATATTAAAAACAGCATAAAACTGGATGGATATACTAAACACCAGCTCCTTAGTTTCTGGCCACATAAAACAAATATAAACAAAGGATGATAGCAGTGTAAAATGGGGGGGGGGGGACGGCCAACATCCTGTACTAGGACTACCCGTATTGTTATTTATTTTGTCATGCGTGATCCCAACGTTCTACCATACCTTTGGATAATAATGATAATCTGTCAAGAGCCCATTTGTAAGCCTTCTCCCGCCCTCATTTTACACCGCTATTATCTTTTGTTCCTCCTTCTTCTCTTGTTTTCTAGTGTTAGATTCATAAACATGGGGAACTCCAACCAGAGTGTAAGGCTCTGTTCACACCAATGCATTTTTTTGTGTTTTTTGCTTTTGCAGAAATGCACTACAGTCTATTTAACATGGTTTCCTATGGAACATGTTCACATCTATGCTTTTTTGAGCTGCTGCATTTTTGGAAAGAGTCAGGGACTTTTTTTAAAAGCAAAAAGCAGCATTTTTACTACAACAGAGTTCAATGGAGAAGCTGCTAAAATGCATAGTAGTGCATTTTTGCAGTGTTTTGCATTTTGCATTTTTCTTCTGCCCAGCAACAAAAAAATGTCGACTTTAACAAAAAAAAAGAGAAATGTGGTAAAAATTATTAAAAAAAGCATAAAAAATGTGTGAACAGAGCCTAAATGTGGGAGTTGAACGGTTTCAGCCAGTGCTGCTCAACAAACCACACCCCCTGGCACATTTATTCCCACCCACCAGGGCTTAGTCAGGGAGGTGGGGACCAAAAGCAGGTTTAAGATTCTTCTGCATCATCAGCTGCTAAGGAGAAGGTGTAAAACGTGAATCATGGGAAATATGTTGATGTAATTAGTGCAATAAAAGATTGAAATCTGAAAGAAACAAAAAAGAAAGAAAAGAAAATTATAAAAAGAAAATGAAAAGAGCAACAGAATAAATGAATGAAAAATAAAAAGAAAAAAATGATGTTAGAGTCACTTTAATAGCAAAGCAGTTTTTTTTAAAGAGCAATTACTCTGAGCAAGACAAAGAAATCAATGAGTTACCAATGCTAGTTGCCTGATTCCAGATTTAGACTAACCCCACAGGGTCAACAGAAAACAAGCAGCATCTCTGTTCCCTGTATCGCCAAGCATAATAAATCTTTCAAGACAGATTTGAGGCTGATTGGTGGGAGTGGGGGGGCAGGAACCTCTTGGTACTTGCATTTTCCCATGTGTAAGGTCTCAGTAATAAGTGTTCCATTATCACTGGGTTACCAACAAAAGGTAGTAAAGTAGACTGGTGCAGCTCGGCAATTCTTGGATGAAATAATGAAATGCTACGTTGGTAGGTTGTGCTCCCAGTATGCACTTCAAGGTTTTCAGTTTTGATGTGAATCTTTGAAAGAGTACCCTTAAGATTACAACTTTCTATGGAAAGAACACCTATAATCAAAAATATGTTTTTTCTCTTGTTATAGAAAATCCTTGCTGGTGAAAATACGAAGGCTGATGCTAGTTATTTGGTTGCCATGTTGAACTAAGTCATTTGTGAGTGTAATGTGACATAGAGCCTCCTCACTGCCTGTCAAAATCCCTCTAAAAGCCATCATGGATCACTCTTCGGATGGTGATGCTATTAGAAAAGAGCCCATAGAGGTAAGAAAAGTAAAAAATGATCTGTGTGGCATTATGTATAAATCATAACTTCATTGAATAATGACATTTTATGTTGATTATGCATCATGCACACTTTTCCAAATATATTACACATTACTTTGCTTATGCACATGCATTGCTCAGCCATTTCAAGTCTCAAGAAAAATAGAACAACACACCTGTATGGGTAAAGTGCAGCTCCAGCCATTTTTGTGTTTATTAAAAGTCAGCGGCTACAAAAATTCTAGCTGCTGACTTTTAATAAACACACACTCACCTGCACCAGGATCCAGGAATGTGCTCACCTGAGCTGTCCCTTCCCTATCTCTTCTGTCTTTGGCACCAGCATCTCAACTTTTCATTGGGGTGCAGCCTATATGCTAGAGATGGTTTGCAAATAAATGGAAGGGGGTCTGCTGTGCTGGGGGAGAGGTTTATGGGAAGGCCGGAGGAGTATTTAAACTAGAGGGGAGGGAGAATTAGATTATAACGGGGTAATTAGATCACACTGGGGTCAGTACTTATTGGTGGGTGGAATGGGGAAAGATGGGGGGAGGGCTATGGCAGATGATAAGAAGGTTCCCATGTTACATACAACCGGTGGAATTGGTACCATTTGTATGAAAATAAAAAATATGCAAAATACGTGTGAACAAGGTGTCAATGCATTAACGTGCTTGTTGACCAATGCCAGAAGTCTGCCAAGCAAAAAAGGTGAGTTGGAAGCTTTGGTGCATGAATAGAACTATGATTTAAATGGTATTGCTGAAACTTGACTTCATTCTTCACATGACTGGGCCATTAATATTCCTGGCTATGTTCTCTTTCTGAGAGACAGGGTAAATAGAAAAGGTGGTGGTGTCTGTCTCTATGTGAGAAGTGATCTCAGAGCGAGTGTGAAAGAGGACCTAGTTGATGGAGAGTGTGATGAGGTTGAAGCATTATGGGTGGAACTGCACATGGGGGTGCTACTACAAAGGTAATCATAGGAGTTTGTTATAGGCCTCCCAGTGTTAATGAGAAGTGGAGACTCAGCTCCTTGCAAAGATCGAAAGGGCTGCAAGGGCTGGGACAGTGATAATAATGGGGGATTTTAACTACCCAGAAATTGACTGGAGTAATGGTATTGCAGGAAAAGTGAAAGGGCAAATATTTTTAAACCTACTACAGGACAATTTTATGGTACAGTTCATACAGGCCCCAACTAGGAATGATGCTCTGCTGGACCTGGTAATCTCAAACCATGCAGAGCTTATTACGAATGTTTATATAAAAGAACATCTGGGTAGCAGTGACAGTAACATTATTATTATTTATACAGGATTTATATAAGGCCAACAGTTTGCTCAGCGCTTTACAATATAATGGGAGACAATACAACAACAATACAGTTCAATACAAGAGGGAAAGGAGGGCCCTGCTCCTTGGAGCTTACAATCTATGATTTAATTTATTGTTAACTGTAAACAGCGAGCACATATGGGAAAAATAAAAATGCTCAATTTTAAGAGAGCTAATTTTCGGACGCTGAGAGCTGCTCTCCAAGACTTAGACTAGGAGGGAATATTGACATCAATGAACATAACACAGAAATGGGAGTTCTTCATAAAGACTGTATGTGAACACAGTGCAAAATATATTCCTAACAAGTTTAAAAGGCTAAAAATCAAACCTATGTGGCTTTCGACCAAAGTTAAAAAAGCTATAGATAATATGAAAAGAGCTTTTATTAAATATAAAAATGAAGGAGCGCTATCATCTTTTGAACATTACAAAGAATATAACAGAATACGCAAAAAGGAAATCAAGGTCGCAAAAATTGAAAACGAACAACAGATTGCAAAAGATAGCAGGACCAACCCCCAAAAATTCTTCAAATATATTAATAGTAAAAAGGTTCAGCTTGAGCATGCAGGCCCTTTACAAAATAATCTAGAGTGGGTGACTGGGGACAAAGAGAAAGCAAATTTATTTAATAACTTCTTCAGCTCTGTGTATACAAAGGAGCATGGGGGAGCTCTTGTCCATAATGGGCATGGTATTGACACAGCTGCAGATGATCCACATTGGCTCACAATTGATATGATCCAAAAATATTTAGACAGAATAAAGGTGAATAAAGCACCTGGACCGGATGGCATACACCCACGGGTCCTTAAAGAATTGAGCTCTGTCATTTCAAAGCCATTGTTTCTCATTTTTAGGGACTCTTTAACTACCTGCCGACCGCAGATAGCCGAATGACGGCTGCAATGCGGCCGGCCAGTTCTGAGTGGACGTCATATGACGTCCTCCCAGAACGCGCTCTCCTGCGCGCCCCTACGGACACAGCTGATCACGTGATGTGGTAAAAGGCCAATCACAGCGGCCTTTTACCACGTGATCAGCGGTGTCCAATGACACGCGGATCACAGGGAAATGCAAGTGCCGGTTCTCGGCTGCACTTTCCTCACGCTGTCAGATCGTGAGGAAAGTACTGCCGAGAACCGGCAGTTGTCACAGCGGGGATCGGCACCGATCATCAGGGCACTGATGATCAGTGCCCTGATGATCGGTGCCCAGCAGTGACACCCGCAAGTTCCGCTCAGCAGTGCGCCCACTAGCTCCGCCCACCGTGCCCAGCAGTGCACCCAGCAGTGCCCCCACCTGTGCCCAGCAGTGCACCCACCTGTGCCACTCTGCAGTGCCACCTACCTGTGCCCAGAAGTGCCACCTACATGTGCCCAGCAGTGCCACCCACCTGTGCCCACCCACCTGTGCCCACCAGTGCCACCCACCTGTGCCCACCCACCAGTGCTGCCCACCAGTGCCACTCACCAGTGCAGCCCAGCAGTGCTGCCAGTCAGTGCCACCAGTCAGTGCCCAGGGGTTGTGCCAGTCAGTGCCCAGCAGTGATGCCAGTCAGTGCCGTCTATCAGTACCCATAATCAGTGTCACCTATCAGTGCCGCCTATCAGTGCTGCATATCAGTGCCGCCTATCCGTGACCCCTAATTAGTGCTGTCTATCAGTGCCGCCTATCCGTGCCACCTCATTAGTACTGCCTATCAGTGCCCTTTAGTGCTGCCTATCAGTGCCCATCAGTGCCGCCTATCAGTGCCCATCAGTGCTGCCTCATCAACGCACATCATTGAAGGAGAAAAAATACCTGTTTGAAAAATTTTATAAAAGAAACAAATAAACTTTTTTTTTTTTCAAATTTTTTGCACTTTTTTTATTTATAGCGCAAAAAGTAAAGCGCCCAGTGGTGATTAAATACCACCAAAAGAAAGCTCTATTTGTGAGAAAAAAATGATCAAAATTTCATATGGGTACAATGTTGCATGACCGCGCAATTGTCAATCAAAGTGCGGCAGCGCTGAAAGCTGAAAATTGGCCTGGTGAGGAAGGGGGTATAAGTGCCTGGTAGGCAAGTGGATAATGATTGGCATAGTACCACTGGATTGGCGTAAGGCCAATGTGATGCCAATATTTAAAAAGGGGCCAAAATCTTTACCAAGTAATTATAGACCTGTTAGTTTAACGTCTATAGTTGGGAAGAATCTGGAGAGTTTAATAAAAGGTTCAATGTTGGGACCCTTACTTTTGTATATATTTTTAAATGATATAGGGTCTGGGATTATATATACCATTTCAGTCTTTGCAGATGACACCAAGCTGTGCAGTTGAATAACAGGATGTCTCCAATTTACAAGCCGACCTCAATGCACTGTTTAATTGGGCAACTATGTGGCAAATGAGGTTTTATGTTGATAAATGTAAGGTTTTGCACTTGGGGGCTAAGAATATGCATGCATCATACATACTCGGGGGAGTACAACTGAGGGAATCAATGGTAGAGAAGGATCTGGGAGTTCTGGTAGATCACAAGCTTAATAATGGCATGCAATGCCAAGCTGCGGTTTCTAAAGCGAGCAAAATCCTCTCTTGTATTAAAAGAGGTATAGACTCCAGAGAGAGATATCATATTACCCCTGTACAAATCATTAGTAACACCTCATCTGGAATATGCAGCTCAGTTTTGGGCACCAATTCACAAAAAGAACATTAGAGAACTAGAGAAAGTACAGAGAAGGGCAACTAAACTGGTAAGAGGCATCGAGGAACTCAGCTATGAGGAAAGATTAGAGGAACTGAATTTATTCTCTCTTGATTAAGGGGGGATATGATCAACATGTATAAATACATCAGTGGTTCATATAGTGAACTCGGTGTAGAGCTATTCACCCTGAGGTCATCACAGAGGACAAGGGGGTACTCTTTACGTCTGGAGGAAAATAAATTTAATCTCCAAATACGAAGTTGATCCAGGGAATATCCGATTGCCTCCCAGGGGATCAGGAAGGAATTTTTTCCCCTGCAGGAGCAAATTGGATCATGCTTTGCTGGATTTTTTGCCTTCCTCTGGATCAACTGTGGGTATAGGATTATAACTTTTTTTTTATGGTTGAACTGGATGGACTTTTGCCTTTTATCAGCCAGACTAACTATGTAACTGTGGGCACCTCGCTGCGACAGCTTGCGACTTCAGAGCCATGTGCCCACTGCTTATGCACGAGCTGAGCTGTGCATTGTGAATGGTCCCACAGTCTTCTAGGACCTGTCACATATCTCAGAAGACTGGAGGGAAGGAGGGAGAGGAGGAGGAGAACTTCTGCTTCTAAATGCCTAGATGGTCAGAGCGGAAATACCAGAATTGTAACACTGCTGTTTATTAACCCCTTGGATCTGGCTCCTCCTGGCCCTTTAAGGGGTCTGTGACGCCAGGAGGAGGTGTGGGGCTTAGGATCATATGACTGCCATGATTACCAGTCACAGCTGTCACATGATCGGAAAGCTCCTGACTGCAAGTAGCGATTGGGACCCTTCCGTGAGGCACATTTTGTTTACATTGGGTATGCAAATATGCGGCCCCTCAGTGCCAAGGCCATCTTTAATATTGATTGGACCCTAGGCAAACATTTTCTTGGGCCCCCATGCAGTTTTGCTCTCCATCTGCTCTGAGACATACAATAAATAGCAGCATATCATTACTTGCTAAAGGTTATAGCACACATTATGGTGCACTGGTTGCTAAAAGTTACAGTACATCATTACACCTCACTGAGTGGTTGCTAGGGGTTATGGCACATCCTTTCCACTCTCTGATTGGTTGCTAGAGGCTACTGCACATCATTACTGGTCACTGATTGGTTACTGGAGGTTACTGCACATTATTAAGCTTCACTGACTGGTTGCTAGAGGTTACTGCACATCCTTACCCCTTACTTATTGGTTGCTAGAGGTTACTGCACATCATTACCACTCACCTATTAGTTGTTAGAGGTTACTGCATATCCTTACCACTCACTGATTGGTTGCTAAAGGTTACTGCACATCATTACCACTTACTGATTGGCTGCTAGAGATTATGGCACATCATTACTGCTCACTGATTGGTTGATAGAGATTACATCAGATTACTACTGTTCTTTTCCTCACTGCCTGCACACCATAGACTGAGAAGGTGAAAGGACCAACCAATAGACAGAAAACTCCTAGGTAACCTAGGACTCCTGGGATCAGTGGCAGTGCTGGGGGAGGGTATGATCAGCGGCAGTGCTGGGGGGGGGTTGATGTAACTAGTGGCAGTGGGGGTGGGGGGTAAGTGGCAATTCTGGGAGGATAGGATAAGTGACAGATCTGTTGGGGGGGATGGGATGAATGGCAGTGCTTGGGGGGATGGGATCAGTTGCAGTACTTAGGGTGGATGGGATCAGTGGTAGTGCTAGTTGAGGATGGGAAGTGATATTTCTATGCTGACCACCAATGTTAGGGGGGATTTACACTGACCATTATTGTAAGGGCAATTCTGCACTTACCATCAATGTAAAGGTAAAAGTACACTGACCACCAATGTAATTAAGAATTTACACTGACAACCAATGTAATAGGGGATTTTACACCAACAACCAATATATTTCTACACTGGCCAACAATGTAAGGGGGAATTTACACTGACCACCAATTTAAGGGGGGCTTCTACATGGACCACCATTGTAAGGGAGGATTCAACACTGACCAAAAATACAAGTTAGGATTTTTTACTGACTACCAATATAATGAGCAGTTTCTACACTGGACACCAATGTAAACGGAATTTACACTGACCACTAATGCAAAGGGAGCATTCACAGTGACCACCAATGTAAGGAGGAATTTATACTGACCACCAATCTATGGGGGCATTCACATTGACATCTAATGTGAATGAAAGGATTCTACACCAAGCCCCAATGTAATGAGAATATATACACTGACCACCAATGTAATTGAGATATTTAGTCATATTTGTTCACATTTGTGCGTGTCAGGAACGCATACAAAGTTGATTTCCTAACACCACAGAAACATGCTACCCTTTAACAGATACACAGTAATGCCATTAATTGTTAATGATACCCTCATGCATCTGCTGACGTGCATGTTTTCAGAAGTACTAAAATTTGCGGTGCTGTGGCACTGTGTGGCTTGGTGTGATTTTTAATTTTTCAGTAATTCCAGCTCATTGAAATAGATGGGCTGCCCTACATGTGACATACATCTTTATTCGCCCCATCAGTAAACCTTTACATCCTAAATTTCCCTGAAAAACTCTGTACCCCAAACCTCCCCCATCGTCTCTATTCCGACTGCCCCCCCCAACTTAACTCTACATGCCTCCTCTGCTTATCTTTGCAACCACCCCAAACCACTGCAAATCCCCTCCTTGCTCACCCATGCACCCCAAACTGTAATTCCTTTTCTGCCTACCTCTGCACCCCCCCACGCACATATACAGTTGCAAGAAAAAGTATGTGAACCCCTTGGGATTACGTGGAGTTTTGCATGAATTGGGCATAAAATGTGCTCTGAACGTCATCTAAGTCACAACAATAGAAGAACACAGTCTGCTGAACATAATACTACACAAACATTAGATGTTGCCATGGTTTAATTGCACATAACATGTAAACATTCACAGTGCAGGGAGGAAAAAGTATGTGAGGCCCTAGCTTAATGACTTCTCTCAGAGCTAAGTGGAGCCAGGAGTGAGCCAACCTTGACTCCAGTCAGTGTGATGATATTGGATGTGTTGCTGACAGCTGTCCTGCCCTTAAAAAAAACACACACCTGATTTGGGTTTACTGGTTTCAAGAAGCACTGTCTGATGTGAACTATGCCTCGCAGAAAAGAGCTCTCAGAAGACCTACGATCAAGAATTGTTGACTTGCATGAAGCTGGAAAGGGTTACAAAAGTATCTCCAAAAGCCTTGATGTTCATGTGTCCACAGTAAGACAGACTGTCTACAAATGGAGAAAGTTTAGCACTGTTGCTACTCTCCCTAGGCGTGATCGTCCTGTAAAAATGACTGCAAGAGCACAGCGCAGAATGCTGCATGAGGTAAAGAAGAATCCCAGAGTGTCAGCTAAAGACCTACAGAAATCTCTGGCACATGCTAACATTTTTGTTGACACATCTACAATAAGGAAAACATTAAACAAGAAAGGAGTACATGGGAGGACACCACGGAGGAAGCCATTGCTGTCCAATAAGAATATTGCAGCACGTTTGAAGTTTGCAAAAAAGCACCTGGATGTTCCACAGCACTACTGGCAAAATATACTGTGGACAGATGAAACCAAGATTGAGTTGTTTGGGAAGAACACACAACATTATGTGTGGAGAAAAAAAGGCACAGCACACCAACATCAAAACCTCATCCCCACTGTAAAACATGGCGGAGGGAGCATCATGGTTTGGGGCT